ATACTGTTGGTTCTGGCTGTTGAATATGATCTGTTTAGTATAGGTTGGTTGGTTTGCTGCTAGATTGAAGTTTCGGTGGTTCGGTTGGGATTGAAAGGAGTTGTTTGTAGCTGCTAGTTTTGCTTAGTTTAGAGTTACTTGCGAGTACCTGTGGTTTTCGGTACTCACCCTTGCTTCTACACAATTGTGTAGGTTGACAGCTCTCTCAGATTCGGCTTAGTATTTTCTTTAGCAGATTGAGCTTCGGGACATACTCGAGAGGTAGCAGTTCATTCCAGGCGTGCCCTTGAATTATCTTTACTTTCAGTTTTGTTCTATTCGAGAACTATACTCTGAGACTTGTATATTTTTATTCGAATTTTGTATTTAGAGGTTTGTACATGTGACAACCAAATTCTGGGTAGTGTTGAGTCTTAATTAAAGTCTTCCGCTTATTTATTATCTTTTATTCTCGTATTTCTACTTCTCTATCGTTGTGGTTAGGTTAGGCTGACGTGTCTGGTGGGAAATGGACACGTGCCATCACATCTGGATTTGGGGTGTGACACTCTTGTACTGATGTATACTAAATTATAATATATTACTATCATTTTATACCAAAAACTAACTAGCCTAGAGACGTTCGAGAATTTCAATAAGTATAGTAGGAGCTCATAGTAAAGCTCCACTGAATAATATTTTTTGGATTCATTTTGAAACATTTACAATATTTGTTAAAATCTGAGATCCTTTACAATTGCTTCAATAATCTGTTCAAATTAAGAACATTCAAGTGATTATAAAAAAAATAATGTGAACAAATTAAGAGTTCAATTCCTAGGTTACAGAAGATTATATTCTGAACATTGCTTGGCAACTAGAAGCTCTTGAATTTTTTTACGTGAAGGTCATGATTTTACTTCCTTAAGTAAGGAGGTTTTTACATAAACAATATTATGTGTTTCTAATGTCCGTTAATTTATTCTTTATTTTTTTTCTGCTAGTATACATTATGGCTGCAACTCTTGAAAACCTTTCTATTTTGGCTAATATTGGTAGCTATAACATTTGCATTGATCATGTATCTACTATGTAATTACATAGTATGCGTAATAATAACTTTTTTTTTGTTTGAAAATTGTAGTTTGGTCATGAAAATTTCAAATATAACTTGAAATTGTGAAATTCAGAAAATACCCAAAACCTTATTTTCATTTTCAATACATTTTTCTTTTCCAAATCTATCCAAAAAATTTTATTTTTATAAAAATAATTCCATTAAATTATGTTTCATGTTTAAATCATATTTCATGTTTTTTTAATGAAAAGTATATTTATACAATCAACTATTATTTATAAAAAAACAACTTCTGCATCTTCAATTTCAACTTCGAATGTTTCAAATAAAGTGAATAAATAATTATAATAATATGTAATAACTCATATATGGGATCTAATCTATGATATCATACGACAATTTATTTTGAGATATTACTTTTTAGAGCAAATTTGATTGTATGTCAAGCTTTGAGGTAATTACGTTGAGTTGGGTGATTTTGCTAGTTTTTAGAAATTGAGACGTATAAATCATATTTTAAAAAGGTATATTTAAAATTTTAAATATTCTTTAGTATAAAATCTGGTCAAACAAAAATCCAATTTTGAAAATTTCAAAAATATATATATTTTTAATTTTAACGGTCAAACGTCCACTAAATTACCATTAAAATTCAATTTTGATTTATAATTTTTTTTGGAGTATTTAATTCCATCACAACCCAACAACAATGTAGATTGAGAGGCTTTAATTAATTTGGAGTCCAAGAAAAAATTCAAACTTTTATTTTGATTTGAAATTAAGTCAATTTACAATTTAATTTAACTTATAAATGTAACATATTTCATAAATGTAAGTAAAACTTATGCCAACAGTAATAACATGTCTTTCTTTTTAAATATTTTGTTTAGTCAAACATTCATTAAATAAAATGAATATTTAACATGTGACTAGATTACATATATATTTATTTTACAATAAACCTTCCTTAAATCATAAATTTCAAACAACAAACTCTATCATGACATTTTGTTGATCTCCATACCAATAAAAAATGAGGAAAATTACATTAAATATTCACAACCCAACCATCAAACTCCAACAACTATATAAAGAGAAAAGGTCACATTATTTTTTCACCATTCAAACTTTCAATACTTCCCCCCTTAATTTTTTCCAAAAAAAATAAAAATGAAGTTCTCTTCTCTCTTCAAAACCAAAAAAAACCCTTCTTTTCTCCTATGCTATGTAGATTGCCACATTGTGGAAACCTTAGAACTCTCTCTATTAGATATGAAAATAATCACAATATTTTCAACTCTCAAAGATTTTATAACAATGCTGATGATGACATGGTTGATGAAGTCATTGAAGGTCTAAAAATTGAGAAAAAGAGGTTTTTTTTCAAAGCAGATGAAAAAACCAGTTCAATTCTTGATGTGTCATCATCAAAATTATCAAAAAGTACTAGTAGTAAGAGGCTTGAGTTTTCACCATTTAATGAATCATGCGTTATACCACATATGAATTCGATTGATGCTTATGGGGAAACAAGTACTAGGTCAATTCTTAAAGGGTCATCATCAAGATTGTCAAATAATGATAGTAGTAACATGGTCGAGTCTCTACCATTTAACGACTCATGTGTTATAATGCCTGGTGTTATGAGGGTAACTTTGACGGATCCTTATGGATATATCAAGAAATATATGGAAACAATGGTTGAAGAAAATCAAGGGATTAAAGATTGGAAGGAGTCTCTTAAAGAGATATGTGCTTGGTATTTGGAGAATAATTATAATGATAAAAACATTCATAAGTTTATTATTGGTGCATTTTGTGATTTGTGGATGAGCTATTCTGGTACTTCAACAACAAATACTCCATTTGGATTTAGTACTAGTGAACCTCCTAGTCCTTATTTTATGTCTTTGATAGAAGCTGAGGCTGATCAAATTATTGCAGCGTCGTCAACATCCAATGTAATTTCATAAGTAAGGGGTTTGGGCAGGGTAGGGGTAGGATTTATGCAATACTTTATTCTTATAGCTTGTTCTGAGATTAAAAGATTATCTCTAGTGATAGATTCTCGCTCGAAAGTAATGCTTTCGAAGCGAAAGACTAAGAATGAGATTCCTAAGAAAAATATTGATCGTGTTTCATTTTCTTATGTTTGAAAGAAGAAAAAAATAGAGAAATAAAAAGCAGAATTTATTTTAGATATATTATAGTATTATTAGTAGTATTGTTTCTTTTTCTTGTTTGAAAAATTAAATAAATATACTTTCTTTTTTAATAATGTTAGTTGTGTTACTCCGCGGTTTTCGCTACAAAAAAAATAGAAATCAATTCTGAAGTTTGTTGCTAATCTTTGACCTAATATTTTTCTATCATATATACCTTGACCAAACATGATATATCAATAATTAGTGTAATACAAAACTTAGTTTATGTCTAACTTTTATTAAATCTAGAGTAAAAAGCATTGTAACTTAAGTTTTTTCTATTTATTTAAATTTTACAATGCATAATTTATTTATTCGTTACAATAATAACATATCTAATGTTGTTGATTTATATGATTATGGCCTTTCCAAAATTATGATAAAGAGTGTTGGAAATGAGAGTAAAGCAGTTAGCACGTATTAGCTTTTTCTTTGAGAAGTAATTTTTTGTTTACTTAGACTCAATTAATTTGGATTCGCGTCGTATAGGGGTTAGAAAACATAATAGTACTATCATGAATATTAATAGTACAACTAATAGTATAAAAGCATAAACGAGACAACACTCAACTATCTAGCTAACCTCTTACCCTAATTTGTATTCTCCATAACCTCCTATTTTAGGTCATGTTTTCGATAAGTTGAAGTTGCATCGTGTCATATCTAATACTTGTTCGAGCTACCTCAGTCTCTCGTAAAACCAATATGTTTTTACTATTAATTACACGTCATGTTTTAAATCAAAAGAACAGTAAAAAATTAAATGTTCAATAATATCATAACTTAATTAATACGGAAATAATGCAAACATTCTTTTTTCTTGTTGTATCTCATGTGAGTCCCTCCAAAATAAATGGAGCTTTTCTCACATAAGTAATTAATTAGCCTTGAGGCAAAGCCGAAAAATTCGAAGCAAACAAAGTCAAAACTCTTTGTGCTAGGCGTATATCATCCAATAGTATTAGTAAATATTGTAATCAACTCCTATCCTCCTCCCCGTATACTAGCACTATTCATGCTCTGTCACTCTTTATACTGATGCATACTAAATTATAATATATTACTATCCTTTTGTACCAAAAAAACTAACTAGCCTTGAGGCGTTTGAGAATTTCAATAAGTATAGTAGGAGCTCATAGTAAAGCGCTCCACTTAATAATTTTTTTTGGATTCATTTTGAAACATTTAGAATATTAGTTAAAATCTGAGATCCTTTACAATTGCTTCAATAATCTGGTCAAGTGATTATAAAAAAAATAATGTGAATAAATTAAGAGTTCAATTCCTAGGTTACATAAGATTATATTCTGAACAATGCTTGGCAACTAGAAGCTTTTGAATTTTTTTACGTGAAGGTCATGATTTAACTTCCTTAAGTAAGGAGATTTTCACGTAAATAATATTATGTGTTTCTAATGCCCTTTAATTTATTCTTTATTTTGTTTCTGCTAGTATATATTATGGCTGCCCCTCTATCGTATAATATTTTGCTTCTATATGTAATAAAGTAGCATGCAACTCTTGAAAACCTTTATATTTTGGCTAATATTGGTATTTGGTAGATAAAACATTTGCACTGATCATGTATCTACTATGTAATTACGTAATATGCGTAATAATAACTCTTTTTTGTTTGAAAATCGTCGTTTGGTCATGAAAATTTCAAATATAAATTTGAAATTGTATTTGAAATTTAGAAAATACCCAAAACCTTATTTTCATTTTCATTACATTTTTCTTTTTCAAATCTATCCTAAAATTTTTATTTTTATAAAAATAATTCCATTAAATTATGTTTCGTGTTTAAATCATATTTCATGTTTTTTTTTTAATGAAAAGTATATTTATACAATCAACTATTATTTATATAAAAAAAAAACTTCATCTTCAATTTCAACTTCAAATGTTTCAAATAAAGTGAATAAATATTTATAATAATATGTAATAACTCGCATATGGGATCTAATCTATGATATCATACAACAATCTATTTTGAGTAAATCATATTTTTAAAAGGTATATTTAAAATTTTAAATATTCTTTAGTATAAAATCTGGTCAAACAAAAATCCAGTTTTGAGAATTTCAAAAATATTTTTTTTTTGAATTTTAACGGTCAAACGTCCACTATATTACTATTAAAATTCAATTTTGATTTATAAATTTTTTTGGAGTATTTAATTCCATCACAACCCAACAACAATGTAGATTGAGAGGCTTTAATTAATTTGGAGTCCAAGAAAAAATTCAAACTTTTATTTTGATTTGAAATTAAGTCAATTTACAATTTAATTTAACTTATAAATGTAACATATTTCATAAATGTAAGTAAAACTTATGCCAACAGAAATAACATGTCTTTCTTTTTTAAATATTTTGTTTAGTCAAACATTCATTAAATAAAATGAATATTTAACATGTGACTAGATTACATATATATTTATTTTACAATAAACCTTCCATAAATCATAAATTTCAAACAACAAACTCTATCATGACATTTTGGAGATCTCCACACCAATAAAAAATGAGGAAAATTTCATTAAATATTCACAACCCAACCATCAAACTCCAACAACTATATAAAGAGAAAAGGTCACATTATTTTTTTCACCATTCAAACTTTCAATACTTCCCCCCTTTATTTTTTCCAAAAAAAATAAAAATGAAGTTCTCTTCTCTCTTCAAAAGCCAAAAAAAAACCTCCTTTTCTCCTATGCTATGTAGATTGCCACATTGTGGAAACCTTAGAACTCTCTCTATTAGAGATGAAAATAATCACAACATTTTCAACTCTCAAAGATTTTACAACAATGTTGATGATGACGTGGTTGATGAAGTCATTGAAGGCCTAAAAATTGGGAAAAAGAGGTTTTTTTTCGAAGCAGGTGAAAAAACTAGTTCAATTCTTGATGTGTCATCATCAAAATTGTCAAAATATACTAGTAGTAAGAGGCTTTTCAAAAAGTACTAGTAGTAAGAGGCTTGAGTTTCCACCATTTAATGAATCATGTGTTATACCACATATGGATTCGATTGATGCTTATGGGGAAACAAGTACTGGGTCAATTCTTAAAGGGTCATCATCAAGATTGTCAAATAATGATAGTAGTAACATGGTCGAGTCTCTACCATTTAACGACTCATGTGTTATAATGCCTGGTGTTATGAGGGTAACTTTGACGGATCCTTATGGATATATCAAGAAATATATGGAAACAATGGTTGAAGAAAATCAAGGGATTAAAGATTGGAAGGAGTCTCTTAAAGAGATATGTGCTTGGTATTTGGAGAATAATTATAATGATAAAAACATTCATAAGTTTATTATTGGTGCATTTTGTGATTTGTGGATGAGTTATTCAGGTACTTCAACAACAAATACTCCATTTGGATTTAGTACTAGTGAACCTCCAAGTCCTTATTTTATGTCTTTGATTGAAGATGAGGCTGATCAAATTATTGCAGTGTCATCAACATCCAATGTAATTTCATAAGTAAGGGGTTTGGGTAGGGTAGAGGTAGGATTTATGCAAGACTTTATTCTTATAGTTTCTGAGATTAAAAGATTGTTTCTAGTGATAGATTCTCGCTCGAAAGTAATGTTTTCGAAGCGAAAGACTAAGAATGAGATTCCTAAGAAAAATATTGATCGTGTTTCATTTTCTTATGTTTGAAAGAAGAAGAAAAATAGAGAAATAAAATGCAAAATTTATTTTAGATATGTTATAGTATTATTAGTAGTATTGTTTCTTTTTCTTGTTTGAAAATTTAAATAAATATACTTTCTTTTTAAATAATTTGTCACTAATCTTTGACCTAATATTTTTCATCATATATACCTTGACCTAATATGATATTTCAATAATTAGTGTAATACAAAACTTAGTTTATGTCTAACTTTTATTAAATCTAGAGTAAAAATCATTGTAACTTAAGTTTTTTCTATTTATTTAATTTTACAATGCATAATTTGTTTATTTATTCGTTAGAATAATAACATATCTAATGTTGTTGATTTATATGATTATGGCCTTTCCAAAATTATGATAAGTGTGTGTTGGAAATGAGAGTAAAGCAGTATACAAGTATTAGCTTTTCCCCAATTGTTGTTAAGAAGTAAATTTTTGTTTACTGAAGCTCAACTAATTTGGATTTGCGCCGTATAGGGCTTGAAAAACGTCTTTTATTAAGGATTTTGCTATATCTAGAACGGATACGAACAGAAATTTCTGGTTAAGGAAGGAGCCGCACATCCGCTGCACCACATTTTAAGCATAATTTGTCGATCATTTTAATGCCTCCACTTTGGTCACAAGCACTGAGCTCGCTCTTTTATTTAATGGTCTCAAACTAAAGATGTGTGTAATATATCAAAATATTCTTTGAATCTTATGATTTTAAATATGTCAGATACGATGTTAGAGGTAAAAAAAAAGTGATACTCTTCTTAAAAAGACTAAAAATAGAAGTAAAACAAATAAATTGAGGTAATTGCTTAGATAATTTTGTATCCACGTATGTAACTAGGTAGTATGCTTAATAATAGTACCCTATCTTACCCAAAAAAATATTATGGCTAAACGTATAAGGCTGTTAAAAACTGAATCAAAATTAATACTTTGAATGGAGAAAAAGTTATTGGTTCGTCGGTAATGATTTATTAATTTAATTTAATATTTTTGAATTATTTTTTTTGTATCGGTTTATTTATTTTTAACGATTTGAAGTTTTTTATTAACTAATTAATCGATAACCTGATAGTAATTA